GCCATCATGGAAATGACTATTAAAACCACACTTTGATAGAGCCACATACCCACCAAGGGCTAGAATAAGACACCCAGAAGGTGAAGGGTCAGCCAGGGCACCAGCACGTGGAAGCCCCCGGGGCTGGTGAGTGTGCACGTGTGCACAAACACTCTGTGGACCCCTTTTCAGGTGGTGTCTCTGAAAGCTGTGACCAGCATCTCCTCCTGGCACAGGAAAAAGAACATGGACACATGTTCACCAAAGACAGGGCAGAGAACGTTCCCAGAGCAATCTCAGAGAGCCCCACACTGGGAACAACCCAAATGGCCACCCGCAGGCGAGGATCAAGTCCTGGTGCCCGCCAACATCAGGCAGCACTCAGCCAGAGCATGAACGAGGTGCAAGGACACAGCTACCTGGGAGAATCCACCTGCACAATTCAGAGAGAAGCCAGACATGAAAGGTACATGGTGTGTGCATCCCCATCTGTGAAGGTCAAGAACGGGTAAACCTCATTCTGGTGTCAGAAGGAACCAGGGATGGTGGTTACCCTTGGGGAGGGGAAGAGACGGAGAGTAGGACACAGGCTCTGGGGAATGAGACATGAAGTGCGTGCTTTGTCCATGTTCCCAGCTGTGTGTTGTGATGTGTGTGTATTTCTACATGGATATTATGCTTCAGCTCTGCATAGAAATCCCTCCTCCCTGGATGCTGTCTGGCTCCTGAGACACAGGCCTCGCCCTCTGCAGTAGACCTGGTGTCCTGGGGCATGGCCAGAGGGAAGGAGACCCTGACAGCAGGAGCCACTGGGGGCTGGGGGCTGCCAACAGAGACACAAAAGCAAAGGTGCCCCCAACAGCCAAGATCCTCTCCCTAGAGGCTGGTAGAAAGCCTGCCTCCCTCACCTGGACAGCTTTTCTGGCTCAACCCCTGACAATCATCTCAGCATTGTTTTTTCATTAAATTATTGGAAAACAAGCCCCCCTTCAGCCTGCTCCCCCTCCAAGTTCTCACATAGCATTTTTGTTTACGATAGCAAATCAATGCATCCCTTTTTGTGGACTGACAGTGAGGAAAAGGACAAGCAGAAAGAAATGCTGACTTCATGTCAGCAATAAGAAGATTCATCAATGACAGCCCATCAGATCCACAGCAATCATTGGTTACAAAGATTCATGGAATCACCTTTCTGGGGCTAATTTGACAAATGATGGAAAACACAGCAATTACAATCAGGAATTTGGCTACAGAAGTAGTTAGTAACGGGAATGCTCAAGGACTTTGGGTAAAACAAAAAGTGTTCCTTGTACACTGCTAACAAAGTGAAAAGTTAGTTGGAAACCACTTAGATGTACAATTCATAAATGACTTAAGAAAAATCAAACTATCTATTATAGTGAAAGAAGTTTTAAAACTATGTTGTAGATAATCCTTCTCCAACTTTGGGGCAAGTCAAATAACCCAGACAGTGAACAAAAAATAGGGCTTGCATCTCCCATTTACCAAGCTTTCCAGGAATCCTGATGCACCTGAGGCCACTCCCAGCACTGGAGGAACATTTCGGAGGGGAGAACATTGTCAATGAGAGACAGTGTGAGTTTACAGTATCATTCCATTCTGTAAACATATTTGGATGCTGTATTGCCAATGGGTTTCAGCCCCAGGCAAGTTAGCTATGGATTCAGTCATGACCAAAGAAAATGACAGCAAAACATTCTTGGGGTGAAAGGGTTATACCCAACTTTATTTCCAGGTGGCAGGTCAGTCACTAGAATCTCATCCACTCAGAGTGAGTCTGCATGCAGGAAGCCAGTCTCTGCCTCTGGGCCCCTCTGTCCACACAGCCATCCTCTGGGCCTCTCTGTCCACACAGCTGTCCTCTGGGCCTCTGTCCTCGGCACTGCCACCATCCAGCCTCTGCTCTACTCCCCTGCAGCCTTGTAGCCCTGGCACCGTGTCACCCAGCGCACTGGGCGGAGCTCTTTATATAGAGTCAACAGCCGTGTATTGCCCACAGGTGTGCAGTGGGCTAGTCAACCAGGGCCAGGTGAGAATCCTGGCCACAGGAACTCTCATTTTATCCACACTCCACCCCTCCAGGACTCTCTCCTCTCGGTCTATGTGCCCTGAGTCCTCTGCACTGGCCCCTGTGCAAGGAAGCTCCAACATTGTCCTCCAGCCTCTCCAGCAAAAAGTCCTGCAGACACACAGGCTGGACTCGTGGCTCTGTCTCTGGCCTCTGCCTCTTTGGACTTAATGGCTAGAACTGCTGCTCTGGTTTCAGTTGTTGCAACAGCTCCAGGAAAATCCTCTTTGACTTCCCATCTGATTTCCTTCCATATACTCCTGCCCATATCAAATCAAACCACATCTGGGTCCTCGTAACCCTCACAGGGCCCCTCAAATTCCTCCTGTGAGTAACAGGTCTTATTTCTTTCTGGGTTCTCATTGCTTCAACTACTGTACATGTCACCTCGCATTTTGTAATCGCTGCCTCAAGGCGGCTGCACTGTCAGGGAAGACAGCTTTCCCATCTCTGATCCCGAAAGAACAATTCCATCCACCCCTAAGTCCCACAGCCCCCAGCTCAGCCTGAGCATAGGGGCAGACCATAGGTGCTCCACGACCTGGGGAGGGGGCTGCTCCTCTCCTTGGGGAACTTTCAGCTGCTGGGTCTTTATTTTCTTTACAACCACTGGGAGTGCTTTCAATACAGGAGGGCTCAGTACCTCCGGCACCACCCCTCCGTCCTTCCCCAGCTCCTCCATTTCCGGGGCTGATGGCACCTTTCCCTCCCCTCCCCCGAGTGCCTCCCCTGCTACACCCTTTCCCTGTTCTACCGTGCCTCGCAGCAATGCCAGCTCAGTCTTCAGCAGCTCTCTTACCTTCACCTCAGTGCTTCCCAGCCGACGTTCTTGAGCCACCTCCGCCTGTGCTTCCCTCAGGAGTTCGTCTTTTTCCTTGATGGCCTTTTCCTCCTTCAGAGCACCTGGCAGCGCTGCCGTCCCTTCTCCAGTGGCACCTTGATGCCAGCGCTCTCGTGCTGCCACCTCCTGCATCCAGGCCATCTCCTTCCTTGGGGCATCCACAGAGGTTTGTAGCTCGCGTTCTCGTGCCGCCATTTCTTGGGTCTCCTCTGTAGACCTTTTTAAGACTGTGAGAAGCAGCCAACCCACAGTCCCCGCTGCCTCCCGGGCACTTTGCTTCTCAAAGGCTCTGCTTACGATACCAAGGGCCACCCCTGCTGCCTCAGGTGTCACCTGGGCTAGGGAGGCAAGCCACCTCAGACCACATACCCATTGGGGGATGATCCACTGTCTCCCCATTCACAGGGGCAGCCCGCTAAGCATCCCTCCCATAAGGGCAGCCTGTCTTTTCCCAAGTCAACATGAACCCTGCAGACGTTTGCCAATTGTCTTGCCAATGGGTTTCAGCCCCGGGCAAGTTCACTATGGATTCAATATGACCAAAGAAATTGACAGCAAAATGTTCTTGGGGTGAAAGAGTTATACCCAACTTTATTTCCAGGTGGCAGGTCAGTCACTAGAATCCCATTCACTCAGAGCGAGTCTGCAGGCAGCAAGCCGGTCTCTGCCTCCTGGCCCCTCTGTCTGCACAGCAGTCCTCTGGGCCTCTCTGCACAGCCGTCCCACACAGCCGTCCTCTGGGCCTCTGTCCTCGGCACTGCTACCACTCCAGCCTCTGCTCTCCTGCAGCCGTGTAGCCACACAGCAGCTGTGTGGCCCTGCCACTATGTCGCCCAGAGCACTGGGTGGAGCTCTTTATATACAGTCAATAGCAATGTATTGCCCACACGTGTTTAACTAGCCAACCAGGGCCATCCTGGCCATAGGAACCTGCACTTTATCCACAGTGGCCTAAGGGGGCAGTACCTTCTGTCCCCCCCTGCCCTCCCATCTCTGGGTCCCAAGGCCAGCAGAGGGCGCACTGGGCCCAGCCAGGGACAGAGAAGAGATGAGTGAGCTCAGGGAGCCCTCTGCTCCCAGGACATCAGGACACACAGCAGCACAGGTAGGGTGGGAGGTGGGCAGCAGGGAGGGCAGGAAGTCCTGCCTGGAGGGGCAGTTCTCAACAAGTTGGGGCAAACTCTCTGACTCCTCAGGTCCCTCCCCTTGCTCAGGGGCTTTCAAGGGGCTGGTAGGTCTTCACTAGAACCTACTGTGGATTTTGTGTCTCCACGTTCTGCCACCTGCTGAACAAGTAAGTTTAGTGACTTCCTGGAACCAGTCCCTCCCTCTTTGCACAAGCACCCTTGCTGTGTGGGGTCTCCCAGCCCTGCGTTGGGAGACACCTCTGCTTGGCCCTTCTCTCCCCTGGGACACAGCAGTCCTCCATTCAGGCCACACATTAGAACACCGGCTGCCCCACAGCCACCTGCTTCTGTCTGTGCCCCCTGAGCCAGGTAACTCATGCTCTCTGCAGCTGAGGGCGCCGGCATTTCCCCGATGGTTGTAATTGGCGTGAGGGCTGAGACGCTCTGCTTTGTCCTGCGTGCTAGGAGGGGAGCTGGGGGCTGTTTTCCTAGATGGTTTATGCTCATCTCCATCACCTTCCCCGAGGTCAGTGGCACGGAGGGTCTCTGCCCCCTCACCCCCTGACTGCATGGGCCACCCCCTTATGTTCCCCAGCCTGAGCATGTGGCACTCCGACCAGGTCATTTCCTGGGCAACCCCTTGTCGGGGCCTGGGGGTTGCCTTTGAGATTTTGGGGCAACATGAAGAGCAGAGAAGGCAGCGGGAGCCATCATGGAGGGTGCTCAAAGAGGCCACTTTATTCTGCACAAAGCTGTATTTCTTATACTGCTGTACTGCTAATTCATGGTTACATAAGTGTTTTAAGATGGGCATGCATGTGGCCTTCAAGGCCCTTACCTAGCTCCTTTCCCATGGGTACAACAGGTTTCTCAAGGCCAGATATATCTGGGGTGAAGCAGTGGCAACTGTCCTCAAAGAACAGTGGGGGAAGGTGGGGGAGCCTTCCCTGCACCCCATCCCTTTCTATAGGACAGCAGCTGCCTGCTTCTTTCTTGCACACAAAGCGGAGTCCTGTGCCCAGAGTCCACAGAAACAAGAACAGCCACAGACAAGGAGGCCACATGCCCCGGCTGCTGCTGTGGTTAGGAGCCACAGCCAAGTGGGGCCAAGCTGTGACCACCACGTAGGCAGGGGTCCTGGGATGAGGCTTGTATCTGAGACACTTCCTCATCCACTTCCTGGAGCACAGCTTGTATTTGCTGCCGGTGGTCTGGGATATAAACACAGCAGTCAACGTGCAGTAAAGCACAGGAGCCCCCTTGTGCAGCTGTGAGTTGATCCAGAGCGATTCTGGTTTGTAAAGTCACCTTCCGCGTCTGGGTGATTTCATCTAGCAACAGGGCTGGCAAGGACCTTGTTACATTCACAGCACAACATGCTGTGCCACGGCGTCTATTTGTAGTTCTACATCTATAGTGCCAGCTCCTGGAAGGAAGATAGCCAGGGAGTAAAACCACCATGCCGTCCATTTGGGATGATGCCAGCGGGAATGTACAGCATCCCAGTTATGTGTGGGCCACTGCAAGGTTTGTGATATCTGTCCTGATATGTCGGAGCGGTCCCATGTACAACGGCCCATCCAGTGTGCAGGGAGATAGGACCAGCCGTATTCCCAACATATCCAAATGGTTTATCCTGGCCGGGGGTTGGTCGGCACAGTGCCCACATGGGTGTAACCATCCCACCAGTGCTTAGGGGTGCGATTACCACTGACATTGGCACACAGTTCTCTGGGTAACCAGCCAACCATGAGACTGGGTATGGAAACCTGCTGTTCAGTGCACAGCGGAGCTATGGTTTGCAAGGTGACATGTGTACTAGACATCCGTCCCCACCCATTATACACGGTCCTCCCCCAGGCAGAGTGTGTGCTGACTGCCGGATCAACTGCTCAGTCACACACTGTTTTGCTTCACCTTCGGCATCACTGCGATTCCGTGCTCGAGGGCGTTCCCACGCAGACAGGTTGAAGGGAGCGATTTTCCACAGCAGTCCAGCAGTGATTTCCTAGGGCAGTTCCATACACACCCAGAAGTGGGAGACCCTATGTACCTGGGCTAAAGTACGGGCCCGTGCCACCATGTTATTGCTCTCTGTCAGCCTGGGCAGAAAGACAGGACAGACAAAGACGCCATCAACAGCAAGTCCCAGTTCTCTGGGAGGGTACAAGTGACCTTATCATCTTGTGACAAAACAGTGGCTGCCTGGGTGGCCTTCCTGGTCTGTGATACCAGACCACAGTGCCCAAGGACACTGGCAAAGCATCAGGTTCAGCCTTCAACAGAAATTGTGGTATTAGCCACACTCACACGGCTGAAGTCCCTGCCAGTATGGCTGTTGCCCTCTCCGGCAAGGAGGCAGTCCATTTAAAAGGCCACCTTCCTATCCATGGGATAACTTGTGACCCAGGGGTCAGCCCTCCCCCCATACCTCATACAACGCAACCCACAGATGTCCTTCAAACACTGAGGTCCACAGCCACGTCCACTCCTTGGTACGGCCAGGAGACAGCGTACGTGGGGCAGGAAGGAGCAATGTTTCTTCCAGCAACTGTGGCTGCAATTCACTGGCGCCCTGTTTCAAATATTTCAAGATGTATGGGCAAGCCACCACCAACAGCCCTATGGGGCTTTCCCCCATTTTCTCTGGTTGCTCACTCAGCAACTGTACTGCTACGGGCAAGTGCTTCACCCACTGTGCCCATGCTAAATGTTTCAACTTGTCCTTTAATAGTCCTTTCTACCATTCCGGGGGCTTGGGGTCGATAGGGCACGTGTAATTACCATACAATGTCCTGTTGTCAAGCCCATTCTTGTATCTTCTGTCCTGTAAAGTGGTTCCTTCCATCACTGTTGACCATTAACGGACACCCATAACTGGCACATAAGTGCTCCAAGACCCGTTTAGTAGTGTGCTGGGTAGCCTGGGCCATGGGATGGGCAAAACCCACTCCTGTAGCCATGTCCACTGTTGTGAATGCACATTTACATCCCTGATGACTGGGCAAGGACCCTATGTAATCTACTTGCCACACCTGTAAGGGCTCTGGTGGGCAGGGGAGCTGTCCCTCTTGCATGGGTACCTGACGACAATGTGGGTAAAAGGAAGTGCATTGAGCACATGCTTGCACCACTTGTTTTGCATCAGCAAACATCAGCAGAATGTTCCACCTCTGGGCAACTTTACCCATGGTTCTAGGGCCTACATGTCCTAGTTTCTTATGCAACCATGGCCCCATGTCCATAGGGGGCATTCGTGGAGCATACGAGCCCTGGCCAAGGCGTTGGCCACATCATTTACAGGACTTAGTGTTGGGTGGTGTCCTCACACACAATGTATTAGGGCCCCTTCCTTTAACCCATGGGTCCACATGTCCTTCCACATCGTTTGTCCCCACAGTGGGCAATGGCCGATTCCCCAGGCCTGCACTGCCCACTGAGGCAGCCAGACAGTGAGGCCCTAAAACGCAGCCCAACTGTCAGTGCAAATGGTTATTTTACCTGATCCCCTAGTCAAAACAAGCCACATCGCCTATAAATCAGCCTATTGGCTGGATCGCCCTACTCCGGACTCATACCAGAACTCTTCCTGTAAGGGCTGAATGGTGACAGCCACCCATGTTGGTGGGTGGCCCTTTGCAGGTCCGTCTGTGTACCAGGCCTCCACTGGTGGTGTCCCTGTCCCCTCCTCATAGGGGCTTACCATTGGCACTTCCATGCTCAGTAAGGTGGGTGCGGGTTCAACCACAAAAGTTAATCGTCCCAAACTTGCTGCAATTCCTGTGAAAGGGCTTTTAGAGAATCTAGCCTGTTGTTCTAAATAGGTTCCCCATTTGGTCAGGGTGGGTGTCTGCGCAGCCCCAGTCCAGGGAGCTGTGGCTCAGGCTCGCACCCACCCCTCAATCGGGAGGGCAGTAACCACCTGTACTGCTTGCATTCCGTGACTCCTTCAGGAGCCAGTAAGGCAGCATACACGCTGCCAGCTGTTTTTCCAACAGCAAATAGTGAGTCTCAGCCCCCTTCCACAGCTGAGACCAAAATCCTATTGGGATTTTGTGGGCCCCGTGTTTCTGCCATGATCCCCACCCGTACCCGTCCATGCTGGCAGACACCGTCAGCAGGAAGGTGTGGAGGGGTCAGTGACTCGCAGTGCCTGGGCCTGAGCCCCTGCTGCTTTTGTCTCAGCAAAAGCCTTTTCTATCCCCGGCATCCAGTCCCATGTTTCCCCTCGCTTTATAAGGCCATGCAGTGGCTTCAACAGCATGGCTAAGTGAGGGATAAACGTTCCCCAATACCCCAACAGACCTCCGTATGTTTGTAGCTGCCTAACATTTTCTAGGGGGCGTAGTCTTGTATTTTATCAATCACTGCCTCAGGTAGTACTTTTGTCTCACCCAACCAGACACACCCAAGAACTTGACAGAGTAACCAGGTCCCGGCACCTTGTCTTCATTGACGGCCCATCCCCACCCCTGGAGGGCCTGGTGCAAACTGCAAGCAGCAGCTTCTAGATATGGGAGAGAATCAGAAGTCAACATTATGTCATCTACATAACGGAACACTTGAACCGAGGGCAGGTGGAACCAGGTGGCCAGGCCAGTAGTCACCAAGCCATGACACAAAGTAGGACTGTGCAAGTATCCTTGTGGGAGGACCACAAACGTCCATTGGTGGCCCTCCCATGTGAAGGTGAATTGATCCTGGCTTTCCGGTGCAATGTCAATGGAAAAGAAGGCATTAGCCGATCCAACACAAAGTGGGAAGTCCCCGAAGTCACAGTCAGCTTATCTATCAGGTCAGTGATGTTAGGTACTGCAGTGTGCAGTGGGGCAGTCATTTTATTTAGTCCCCAACAGTCCACTGTCGTTCTCCAAGTGCCATCTGGCTTCTTCACAGGGCATACAGGGGAATTAAAAGGGCTGTGTGCTGCCTGGATAATGTGTACTTCCTCCAACCACAAAATGGTTTGTCCGGTTTCCTCCTGCCCACCAGGCAGCCGGTATCGTTTAATGTTCACTATGCGGGTGGCTGTGGCAACACTAAAGGTGTGCGGTGGGGATGACCTCACCACACTGTTTTCACAACACGCACACACAACCGAAACTCTCCCAGAGTCGTTTGCATTGTCAGACCGTGCAGCACATCCACCCCTAGAATGTATTCTGGTATCGAGATACATAAACCGCATACTGATGTCGGGGCGGGTGCCCAATTCTCAGAGTCAGAGTCACTCGCCGCACCCGCACCGTTTGCCCACCATACCCCTCTATGACCGCAGAGGGGCCCCGGAACCGATCCGGGTGGCCATGGAGGAGGGTGGAGTCAGCACCTGTATCCACCAGCGCCAACACCCTCTGTATATTCTGTGGGGACCAGTGAATGGCAAGTTCAACAAATGGCCCCCAGTCCTCTGGTGTCCAGTGTACCGGGTACCTCGGCCCCACCCCTAGTCGGGGAGGAAGTCAGTCAGAGCATAGGGCGTGGGTTCCTGGCCCGCCACAGCGCTCCCCGCACCCGCTTCGGGGCAGTGGGCGATAGCGTTGGTCTGGACGCAACTGCGGCCATAGTCCCGTCAGGACCTCTGAAGGCTGTCTGTCCATCAAGCTCTCACGAGCCAAACCAGCAGCCAAAGGTCGGTCCACACCTGTCTGCGGCTCACTTCTAGCGATCCTACCGCGGCCGTCCTCGGCGCTGTTTTCGCCCTGGCTGTTTTTTTCCCTTTGTGCTGCTTCACCGCGGTAGTTATCACTTCGGTTGCTTGAGGTCACTTTACTTCTACGTCTCCCAAGCGGGCTAATGCTGACACCGCTTCATATATTGGGCAGTCGGTGTATGGCACTAGCAACGCGGCAACACTTCAAAGGTCCCTGCAGGACCGTTGGCTAGAACAAGATCTTTCATATAAGACGTTAAAGTTCTTCATAATGGGGAGCAAACATCATCTGCCTCGTACCCACTTCACGGAGCACGCGCACCAGCTCCAGATACGTGCCCCACTTTGTTACACGCTCTGGCATGTACCCTGGGGTATCCCACACTGCCTTTGCTGCAGCCACTGACCAGTTAGTTAATCAGGGTCTTATTGCCAGTGTGTGGGTCTGTGCACCTAGCGCCCGCAATAGGCACCGCATAGAGGGCACAGCTGTTATGCTGGCAAGTTGTGACACCTCAGCGGGTGAGAGCTCAGTATTCTCGGTGCCCTCATCCCACAGCCCCAGCAGCCAGGCCGGCACAGATTCCCCCAAATGTTGCTTACACTGCTAGGCCAAATCCCGCAATTTCGTGGCCGTATATGTCTTTCTGGGGGCCACCCGGCTCCCCCTGCACCTGTGGGTTCTTGTACCTCCCTCCACGCGTTGACGCACGGCAGGGCGGGCGTGCACAACCATGGGCGCTGTGCTGCTCTAAGGGCTTCCCGCCCGCGATGACGGGCAGGACTCAGCGATCCCCATAACATGCACTGGGCGGCCGCCAGCCGTTGCTCTGGATCCTCCTTCCTTCGGAGACTCTGCACGTGCTGCTGCGGGTGCGCAGGTGTGCGAGCGGCCCGGTGGATGACCGTCAGGGATATCCACGCTACTCGTCCAGCTGATCCCCGTGCACCTGAGGGGCCAGGGACTCTAGGGTTCCCAACGCCACCCACAGAGCCTCTGGGGTCGGCTGTACGGACCCCAATCCTCTGGCACCACCCATGTGGTCAAGTGCGCAGCCACCGGGTACCAAATAGAGGCTGGGGGCCACATCTCCTCCAGCCGCCCCTCTGTGTCCAGGGGAGCCAGAGGACTGCAGCTCTCGCAACCACCTACCTCATCCTGCTCACAGCGCCAAGTGTTGGGGTCCAGGGGTTGCCTTTGAGGTTTTGGGGCAACACGAAGAGCAAAGAAGGCGGCGGGAGTCGCCATGGAGGGCGCCCAGACAGGCCACTCTATTCTGCACACAGCTGTGCTTCTTGTACTGCTACAGTGCTGATTCATGGTTACACACATGTTTTAAGATGCGCATGCGTGTGGCCTTCATGGCCAGGCATCTGGCCTTCAAGGCCCTTATCTAGCTCCTTTCCCATGTGTACAACAGGTTTCTCAAGGCCAGACATATCTGGGGTGAAGCGGCAGGCAGCTGTCCTCATAGAACAGTGGGGGAGTTGGGGGGGCCTTCCCCACACCCCTGTGCTTCAGGGGTTCACTACAGTGTCCAGGACAATGTGTGTTCTGGACACAAGCTGTGTCATAATCCTCTGGAGGTTTGGTCCTGCCAGGGCCCAAGTCTGCTCCTGGCCCAGGGCGAGGCTGGTCACCGGCTGGGCTGGAGCGGCGTCCTCCCCTGCCGCTGAGGGGTTCCTCCAGCCCCTCCTCTGGCATTTAGGCAGCGATGCCCTGGAGCCTGAGGGGCTCTCTCCGGAGCCTCTGTCTGGTGGCTGCCAGCTCGCCTGTGAGTGCCACCCCCCCTCTTCCCAGCCCTCCTCACACCTGCCCCCTGATCTCCTGGACCCTGCTCTGGAGGCACCCCTCACTATGCCCCACCTCTGATGTCTGCCCAGAGGCCTATGTGCTGGTCGCTCTCAGCTGCCCCTTCCCTGGCCACATCTTCCAGAGACCAGTCCTGAGATAGTGTCCTCCAGAGGAGATCTCAGGAGGGTCAGGCCTGTCCCATGAACCTGGGCACCTGGCAGGACTGCAGCCCCAGCCCAGGGTCTCCCCATTGACTCTGTGCCCTGCCAGGCTGCAGCTCTGCCCTGGAGAACTGATGTCACTCAGTCTGCGTAGGGTGGGGGGCCTGGCCTGAGCTGTGGTGCTGTGTCTGGAGTAGGGAAGGCCTCCCTCGGCCTGGGAGCCGGTCACTGTCGCCTCCCTCCACCTACCTCTCCCACTAGCATCGGGCCCTGGTTCAGCCCCCCGCCCCCACCTTACCTGCCTTCTGTCTGACTGCCACCCATGTGGCCTCTGCTGTGGCCTCTTCCTTAGAGCAAACTGGCCCTTGGGGGTCCCAGGCCCTGGCTATGGTTCGTTGTCCCTGACACCCTGTGTGCCCTTGGCTCCCGGTGGCCCCATAGGCCTGGCTGTGACAGATGCCACCTCCTCCAGGAAGTCCTCTGCTGTATCTCTCTCTCTCCAGAGAATTAGGACCCCCCTCTCCCCATCAGGGTCATGCTCTTCGTCCCATTCTCCTCCCTCGCCAGGCTGTCCTGAGTCCACTATCTGGGGGCTGTTACTCCTGTGTCCAGCTCTCTGACCCACAGCTGGGAAAGCTGCTGTCTGGCTGCCTTCATTCCCCACAGAGGCTGCCCCAGTGGGCAGGGGTCTGGGAAGGGGCTCCAGCTCCCTCTGCCAGTGGTGGCCATGCTCTGCCTCAGAGGTTCCCCATTTGGCACCCCTGCAGGGGGCTGGCCCCTGGTGTTAGGGTGTCAGGAGGAGAATCACCTGCATTCTCTCAGCACCTTGTGGCCCCAGTGGCCTGCTGGGGAGCAGTGGACAGGGGTGGGCAGGGGGTGGGCTGGGGGAACCAGCCTGGGGCAGCCCTAGACCTGCCACACCTGGCCTTATCCAGGCTGTAGCCCAGAGGGCCCAGGGCCAGGCCATCAGGAGGCCTTCCTAAGGGAGGCAAGCTGGGCTGATTCCTCTCTGCTATGGCTGAATTGCAGCTGACACAGGTGTGCTCAGGTGGGGGCATGTGTGCAGTCTCACCTGGCCCCCAGCTGTGCTGAGTGATATGGCCTGGTGGCACAGGCAGCTCAGGGTGGGCGACAGCCTCCCTTGCAATGGAGGCTCTATGGGCGGGGGTGACAGTGGCCCCACAGAGCTCAGGCCTGCAGGTGAGGCCAAGCCCCAGGTGGGTCTCCAGTGTCTGAGGTGTGGGCAGGACAGAGCCAGCTTCCCCTGGGTGACACGGGGAAAGGTGAAGGGGAGGTGAGCTCCAGCGTGATGCGCAGACATCTCATTATCTTCAAGTCTTTGGGCTGATCCCCAGCTAGCTCAGTCTAAGAATCTTCTTTAGATCTGGACAAACTGAGTCCAAACACGAGCCACCAAGACAGCCCCCGGTGAGGTGCGCCGCTCTCTCCCCGTGTGTCAGGAGCCCCGGGCTTTCCAGGGTGCCTCTAAAGAATGTGCAGACACCTTTGGTGGTGTCAGTACACTTAGTAGTGTACAATCCAAGCTAACAAGTGTGCTTTAAAAAAAACAAAACGCAAGAGAGAGACCCTCAAGTGTCCTCAAGCCTGGGCCCGAATGGGAAAGATGACGGGACCCACCTAAGGAATTCCCAAAGTGACAGTACGCAGGGGCAGAGGATCACATCCCTGAGTCCTCTGTTCCTGCCAAGCAGTTGAAAAAAGTGTTAAAACTAACCAAGTTGGCTCTGTGGTGATAGGTTATTTATTGGCGATTAAAGCCTTGGGAACCCCTTAGGACAAAACAGAACATTTCATGATCAAAAACCTCAGGCTGGTACAACCCTCATGCCTGGTACAGGACAAACTAAACTCAGAGGAAGTGGTCTCTCACGACCAAAGAGGGCTCTTGGTGACTCTTACGGCCTTGAATTGTCCTAGCCACACAGCCTTAGTTGGCTTTCTGAACAAGCTCTTTGTGGGGTTTGGTCTCTAAGATAAAAAGAACTATTTCTTGGCTTTAGGCTCTCGAGTTGTGCTTCTTTCTATTCCGCTCACTACTTGATTTTGCCTGTTCCAAATTAGAGGCCAGAAGTCATCCAAAAGGTTTCTTTACAATGACCTCTCCTTGGGTTTCCGGGGTGGCCACTGGTCTACATCAAAGATTTATTCTCTCCTTGTAGGAAACAAAGTCAGCTGATAAGTCATGATTTGTTTTGCATTCTCCAGATGTTTACTCAGCTCAGCCCTGTTGGGAACTGCCCCATGTATCAATACAGCAACAAGAGAATCTGGTAAATCAAATGGTTGGCATCCCCTGGTTCTGTCCATTCCAGTAAATATTGATGAGGATGTCTGAGCACATGCCACCATGTGTATTTTTTGTAGAAGCAATCTCAGGTTGCTGTTCAAACACTAGCCTGACCTGACTTTAAAAGTAGTTTCTAGGTCTAAAGCACCCATCAGTGGTGACGAATGTGTGTTATGGCATAAACTCCAACAACCTGCAAGTTCACCCAGTGTCCATTCCTGGGACAGTCAGTGCTGAAATGCTCACGTTGAGCATGTTGTCAAGAGACTCCATCCTCTGCTGTGTGACTGTCTTGCCAATGGATTTCAGCCCCAGGCAAGTTTGCTATGGATTCAGTGTGACCAAAGAAAATGACAGCAAAACGTTCTTGGGGTGAAAGGGTTATACCCAACTTTATTTCCAGGTGGCAGGTCAGTCACTAAAATCCTGTTCACTCAGAGCAAGTCTGCAGGCAGCAAGCCAGTCTCTGCCTCTGGGCCTCTCTGTCCTCACAGCCGTCCCACACAGCCGTCCTCTGGGCCTCTGTCCTTGGCGCTGCCACCACTCCAGCCTCTTTTCCACTCTCCTGCAGCCTTGCAGCCCTGGCACCGTGTCATGCCCAGAGCACTGGGTGGAGCTATTTATATAGAGTCGACAGCCATGTATCGCCCACAGGTGTGCAGTGATCTAGTCAACCAGGGCCAGGTGAGAATCCTGGCCACAGGAACTCTTATTTTATCGACAGTGACATTAGGGGTTGTGATAGCAATTAATGAAGCTGGGTGATATCATCAACGTGGGGTTTCTTCTCCCTCACACTTACAGGTCAGATATAGAAACTTCTGGAAGGAGATGCCTGACGAGCCACCCATGACTGCAGCAGCCCCTGAGCCACTGAACCTCTAGGGAATGGACTTGGGGCACAGGCTCCCAGGAGCCCCTGCTATGATCTCTGCGGATACAGTGGACTGAGCACAGCTCCCTGCGTCTTCATCCAGAAATAAACTGCTGGACTCAAGGACACTTAATTAGCTGAGACTAAATGACCCAATGGCTTCAGCTGCGTTTGTCCTGTTTGTGGCGAGCTTGTGACGAGCCTTTTTCTCAAAGTCTAATATTTGGCTCAACAGGTCCTACTTGAGAAGCTGGCATAAAACACCTACCTCCAAATGGCTTCATGTTCCAAGTGTCACCATTTGTCCATTTTATCTTGGCTATCCTATTTGTTTGCACATAATTGTTCCTACTTCTCCAAATAATCCTTATTTCTGAAAAATCAAGTAGTGTCCCCACTTTCATATCTCATTTAGTAATTTGAGTCTTTCTTAGTCCAACAAAATTGACATTTAGGTAGATGATCTGCTTAAAGAACAAACTATTGTTTTCCGTTACTGTTTTTTATTTTTTCTATTCTCTATTTCACTTATCTCTGTTCTGTATTTCCTTCCTTCTACTAGCTTTGGGTTCAGGTTGTGAAGTTAGGTTGTTGACCTGAGCTCTGTATTTTAGCGTAAGATTGTAACCCTATCGATTTTCCCCTTAGGACTGCTTTGTCTGCGTGCCACATAAATGCTATGTTTGTCTTCTTTTTCACTTCTAATCTCTAATTTGCCTTGTGAGCAGCTGTGGGGAGGAGGATCGGGTTTGGGTGGGAGGCCGGGAGCTAGAGTTCTCTGTGAAGGGACACTTGATCATCGGAGCCTTGAAAGACCTGGGAGAGAACTCCATGCAGATCACAGCAGGACTCCACCAGCACAGGGACAGCTGGTGCAAAGGCCCCAGGGTAGGCATAAGAAGGTGGGCTCATGGACAGATAGATGCTGGGGTGTGTGGGGGCTCCTGGCAGGGGACGGGACTAAAGCAGTGAGGGGAAGGGGTAGACACAGCAGGGACTTCCAAAGAATCCTGGTGAAAGGACTTTATCAAAGGACGACAGGAGTGATGTGTCATGATTTACATGTTTAAAAGATCCCTTGAGGAAACGCCTGCAGGGGGTCAGAGTGGAGGGCTTTGGGGGAACCCCAGCACAGAAGGAGGGCACAGATGACTT